ATGTAAAGGAGATAGCCCAGTGTTCAACAATGGCAGCTATCTTCGTCACTGATGTTACTGACAGAGCATTTTCCCCTCCACAGTTCCAGGACTGTAAACTGCCTGTTTTAAACTAGCTAACAATTTAGCAACCAAAACTTTTCAAATAATAGAAAGCTAAAGTTGGGTCACACACAGTAGCTCATGCCTGTAATCCCAGTACTTTGGGAGGCTGAGGCAGGTGGATCACCTGAAGTCAGGAGTTAGAGACCAGCCTGGCCAACATGGTGAAACCCTGTGTCTACTAAAAATACAAAAATTAGCCAGGCGTGGTGGTACGCACCTGTGATTCTAGCTACTAGGGAGGCTGAGGAAGGAGAATCGCTTGAACCCGGGGAGCTGAGGTTGCAGTGAGCCGAGATTGCGCCACTGCATTCCAGCCTGGGCGACAAAGCAAGACCTTGTCTCAAAAAATAAAATAAACTAAAATAAATATTAAAAAATAAAATTGTACTACTACTTGGCAGACAAACTATATTGATCCTCCCAGCTCTACCAATCCCTGGGTATTCCCCCCTGAAGCACAGCATGAAAACCCACTGGTGAATCTCTTCCAGGGGGAACCGTGAGACAGGGTCTCACTCTGTCACCCAGACCGGAGGGCAATGGCTCGATTGCAGCTCATGTAGCCTCTACCTCCTGGGATCAAGCGATCCTCCCACCTCAACCACCTGTGTAGCTGGGACTACAGTTGTGTGCCACTATGGCTAGCTATTTTTTTTTTTTTTTTTAATTTTCTGTGTAGATGGGAATCTCATGATTTGCCCAGGCTGGTCTCAAACTCCTAGGCTCAAGTGATCCTCCTGCCTTGGCCTCCCAAAGTGCTGAGATTACAGGCATAAGCTACTGCATTCGACCTGAGGCTACCTTTTAGAGCACACATCTAGCCTATGATGTGTATTGTGGTGGGGGCAGGGTTGGGGGTGTCTCTCCCTGTGGAAGACCCTGAGACATGTCTGTGGGGAAGGGACCTATGTCTATGAAGGCGGGTGTGTCTGCGTGGGGGTCTATTCCTGTGAGCGTACTGTGTGTCTAGGGGGAGAGGGGATGGCAGCAGGTTCAACGTGCTAAGGGGGCTGGATGTCACTCCAGGACTCTGTGTCAGGGCATGTGTGTCTCCTTTCTACCTTCTGCTTTTTCTTGCTCCCTCTCTCCCTTCCACCTTCCTCGGGTGTGTGTTTTGTTCCTTCTCCTCCCCTCTAGTTCCCCTCGTCTCCTTCCTCCTCTCTGAGCGTCAGTGTCTGCCTCTGCCCAGTCCCTCAAGCTTTCATTTGAACAACAAACTCTACCGGATAGTAAACAGGGTCCTTTCGGTCCTTTCCTTGAAGATATATGGCAGTGAGAAGAAACCAAGAGCATTGGCTCAGAAGCTCAAGCACAGGGAGTTGAAGGAAAGGTCAAATCTGAGGAATGGGGCACCTAAGCACATGTGCAGGAGAGGAGAGAGGCAGCAGAAAGCGGTGTTTAATGGTACCCAAGAGAACAGAGATCTAGATGGGTCCCAGAGAATCCTCAGGAGACAGCATCCAGGTGAAGTCAATGGCTTTGGACAGACTGCTCTTCCTCCCTCAGGAATGGTAGGAGAGAAGAAGCAAGCAGGCAGCAAGTAACCAGCCTTGGATGAGAAGGAGGGCAGCTGTGGGAGCACAGACCCTATGTCCCCCTCTTCTCACCAGACGTAACAATGCATTCCCATCCCTGAGCCTGCTGCATGGTGGGGAGAGTGAGGGCTCAGGGGTGACTGCAGAGGAGGAGGGCAAGCTGAGGTTAGGCAGCACCACTCTCTAGCAGGTCCTCTCTGCAAAGGCTCTCAGACTTTCACCAGCAGTATCTTCCAGACAAGGAATAGATAAGAAAATGGTAGGGGTGCCTAGGGTCAGTGGCAAGGCCAGGGAAGCAAGAGCCTGCAAGGAACTGGTGAAAAACCCAGGAGCAGTTCTGGCCTATGTGCCTGTGTCTTCGACACCCAATTGTTTGAGTCCCTTCTGCTGGAAACTGACTCTCATTCCTGTCTTCCAGCACTTAGTGCAGTGCCTGAGACATGGCCAGCATCGGGAAACATCTGCTCTACCGAAAAAGCTCATGACACCAGGCACAGTGGCTCATGCCTGTAATCGCAGCACTTTGGGAGGCTGAGACGGGTGAATCACAAGGTCAGGAGATCAAGACCATGCTGGCTAACACAGGGAAATCCTGTCTCTACTAAAATTATAAAAAATTAGCCGGGAGTGGTCACACACGTCTGTAATCCCAGGTACTCGGGAGGCTGAGGCAGGAGAATCGCTTGCACCTGGGAGGTGGAGGTTGCAGTGAGCCAAGATTGCGCCACTGCACTCCAACGTGGGTGACAGAGCGACACTCTGTCTCAAAAAAAGAAAAAAAAGAAAGAAAGAAAAAGCTCACGAAGCCCCAAAGCAAGGAGGCCAGCAGGAAACCAGAGGGGGCTGAGTGAGCTTCAGACGGTTAATGACACAGGTGTCACCCTGCTGGGTGGCTGACATCGCTTTTCAGTCTATAAAGTGCATTAGCACATACGTTATTTTATTTCATCCTAGAAACAGTTTAAAGAACAAGTTGCAGTATTTTCAGCCCTCAACAGAGAAGAGATTCAGAGAAGCAAAGGCGCTTGCTCTAAGCTACACAGCCAGGCAGTAATGGAGCGGAGACAGGAACTCAGGTGTCCTCCTCTTAGCCCTGTCCTATTCTTGTTTGTGCTACTCCATGGCATCTCTGAAGGAGTAATCTCACTATCAATGACAAAACAGTGCAAATGCGATCTCAGTGGGAATAAGAGGAGGCCAGTAGTGTGGATTCTGAAGCCACTGAAGACAGCAGAGAATAAGATGGGAAGGGGATGTGGACATCTCAACCAACAGATGATGAAGATCCCAGAGACAAGCAGATGACAGTGACACGGCAGGGAGGAAGGTTCCCAGGGGCTGTGCTAGCAGCCAGATGACAGGACGGAGCTCACACCAGACCATGGCGGCGTCTAACAATCTTCCCTCTGGAGTCCGGGAGCAGAAGGAGCAGCCTCACTAGGGCAGAGTCCAGCATTCCCTAGAGTCTCCAATGGAAGGAGAGAGGCTGGAGACCTGGATACAGGGGAGGGGTCTGGGATGGGCTCCAGGGTTTGAAAACACTCCCTGAGGAACACAGCAAACGCGAACATTTAATGTCACATGGTGAATCTGTTATAAGGGGTTTACATCCTTATTCTTTCCTATCTGCAAACATTACTTTATTTCCTACCCACTCAAGAAGGGATGAACACAAAAATCTAGACCAGCAGTACCTGGACGTCATCATTAACTGAAAATAGTTTCCAAAATAAACCAAAGTATGAAGAGACATAGTGAAAAAATGTGGGGTTCAACCACCGATGAATCAAGAAGAAATTCAAAATTAGCCAGGATTCCATATTCCACATGGTAGAAAACATATCGCCCCTTAATCTCACAAGAGGTGGGAGAAAGGCATGAATAAGATGACTACCTTGATAAGAAAGACGTATCATAAAGAAAGAATCAGGCCCATTCACTGACTGCTATGCACGAGAGAGGGCCACTGATTTTCACATCACGGCCCTGAGTTATGTCCTTGTTATCTCCATGGCTTCTTGGGAAGAGGGTGAGCCCAGCACGTTCCAATCAGGAGTGACTGTGGAATGCCTTTAAGCTCCTTGGACAATCTGGCTACCTGAGTGAACCTTTCCAGTGAGATGACGGCAAAATGGGCTGGAGATCCCAGCAAAAGTATGACTGACCTGGACTCAATCACTCTGAACCAGTGGTCAGTGTCCTATGTCACCTGTCCTTAAGCAACAGGCCTATGACCCTCAAATGGGTTCCCTTCTCCTGAAGCTCTCAATATTTGGCATGCAGTTAGTGCCTTTCCCTCTCTGTGTACCATGCCCCCTTATGGACTTCTGTTGACTTGAACTGTTTGGAGACAATGTCTTTAACTGCATTACACTAGAGAAAGAAATTATTCATGAGGAAAAGGGAACCAAATCGGTCACAAAGACAGTCTGTTTTGGTAATCTATTGAAGACAGATAGTGAGGACAATGATATGTCTGTGGGAACATTTTCTGAGCACCCACCATGAGCCAGCTTTTCTACATGGGGTCCTTTCATATGTTATCTCATTTCATCTTTATGATTATGTATTGAACAACTTCCTTTTACAGATGAGTAAAGAAAGTCTTAAAGCCAAGTGACTTGCCCAAGATGGCAGGGCTGTCACCAAAACCTTTGTTTCTTCCTTCTGCTAAAGTCTGTTTCACTGAACGGTGAAATTCTCCTCAAAGAACTTCAGACGGTTTAGTGCCATCTGGCTTGTGCTCCCAAACCACAGTGAGCACGAGTCTTAAGGAATGTGCCAGGGCATGGCTGAAACTTGAAGGCCTTGGAGATCTCAATTGTTTCTGTCCCCAGTTTACAATTTGTTTTAGGAAAAAACAAACAAACAAACACACAACCTCTTGGTGCATTGTTTCTCCCAAACCGAGAAATGGGAAAAATGACTACCCACTCTCTTGTACTCTGTCATGACATATAAGGAAACTGGAAATGAAAGGGCCATGCAATCAGGTGGTCTTAAATCCATGCCACTTTGAAGTTAGTATTTTTATTATTATTATTATTTTTGAGACAGAGTCTCACTCTGTTGCCCAGGATGGAGTGCAGTGGCACAATTAGAGCTCACTATAGCCTCGACCTCTCTGGCTCAAATGATCCTCCCAACTCAGCCTCCTGAGTAGCTGGGACTACAGGTATGTGCCACAATGCCTGACTTTTTTTTTTTTTTGGTACAGATGGATTCTCACTACTTTGTCCAGGCTGGATAAAGTTAGTATTTTTAATGTAGCATCACCAACTGCATTAACAGGTGACACACCTAACATGCCCAGTCAGTTCAGGGCAAAGGAGAAGCAGAGGACAGGGCCAGCCACCTTACCAGCAGTAGTCCAGCAGATGTGGCGGCAGCACGGGGATGTACACGTGCTGCCAGTACATGGGGTAGAGCATCGCCGCAGACCCGTGGATGCAGGCAGTCAGCTGGAACAGAGCAAAGCAGAGATCAATGAACAAATCCAAGGGAGGAGACACCGCCATTTGATTTCAGCAACACAATTCTATAATTCTTCAACATGTTTACATGATAAGTTGAAAAGCCTGGAGAAATCATTCTAAGTTAATTCAATCACCCTAATTCAAATTTAGTAAGAGCTTTCTTTTCAAAAAATCTTTTTTTCTGATTATAAAGCTAATATAAGAAATAGAAAATTTTAAAAATGGAGAAAGGGATTAAAATAAATGCCACCACCATTGGAAGATTTAACATTGTAGGTTCTTACACACACAAGCACATATATTCCCTTTTTAAATACAATTAGGATGACTATAAATACAGTATTCTTTTGTGTTTCTTAAAAGTGAACATTATTTGATGCCATTTTCCTTTAAATATTCTTAGAAAAAGGTATCTCTTAATGATGCTTTAAAGGCACAAATCCAGAATATTCTTTAAAAATTCTTAGAAAAAATACCTTTTAACGATACTTGAATTTCCCATGCTATTAATATATTTAACTACTCCACTACCATTAAGTAATATAATCATACAGGTCAATAATTTATATCTATAGTTCCTAAATGCAGAATTCAGAGACAAAGGTTATAAATATTTCAAGGCACTTAATAAATACATATATCATAAATATGTTAGTATAATGAATAGAGGAAGGATGGAGACTCTTTATACCCCCCAGCCCCAGCCATCCACCACAATTCTGGCCTCCCTTCCCCTCACCAGCACTACTCCTTGTAGTCAAGTTAGTAGCTTTAAAATTGTATCTATTTTACTCTTATTTTTATTCTGATCAGGACTAAGGTTGAACATTTTGTCATATGTTTCTTGACTGTACTTATGTAATGGACAAATGGTCTATTCATATTCTTAGCCCACTTTAAAAATGAGTGTTAGTAATTTTTACTGGTTTATAAGCAATCACTGATGATATGCAAAGAATATCCAGCCTTTGTAATGTTTTGAAAATAATTTATACTTAATTTTCTTTGAATTTCTGGGCAAAGAGAAGGTCTAAATAATTACATAGACAAATATTTTCTTCCATGATGGTTTCTACCACTTTTATCCCAAGAAAGTCCTCTAAATTTTCCCTTAGCATTTAACTCTTCAGTCCATCTGGAATTACTTTAGGTTTAAGGACTGAGGTGAGAATTTATTTTTTCCACATAGGTAATCAATTGCTATGGCACTGTTTACTGACTAATCCTTCCTCTCCACAGTCTTTTGACTTACCCGTATTTTGTATTTTTTTTTTTTCTTAAGAGCTAGAGACATCATATAATCAGTACTTTATGCAATTAAAAATTTAGGAAACAAAGATAATATAAAGGGATACAATTGCTACAAAATTCAATATAGTGAAAAGAAAGGGGGAAAAAAGCAACCTTTGGAGACATAGCTATGAAGTGACAAAGCCAACAACACATGTTTCTTTCTGTCTTTTTTTCTTTAATGTTTCTTTGGTTTCAGGGAAGCCTGTTCCCATGAGGACTTTGCTTCTTTTGGAAGCTGTTAACTGGCCTTTGCTGACAGAAGGACATTTACGTGGCAAAAGAGTGACGTGCCAAGGCCCAGTTAAAAGCATCCCAGAGGTTAGTGTAACATGAACAGCTTTAAATTGGGTATTCTGCTGATGTTTCCCAGTTGTGAGAACTGTGTGTTAAAGCCAGGGCTGCCACTCCCACCCCCGCCTGCCCTGACTCTTTCCTCCAGACCCCGTTCTTGAAGCCAGGTCCATGCCATGAACCGGATCTCATTCAGCAGGCACCCAAGAACTGTTCCCAGTGACCCCGTCACGGCTGGCAGGTTTAACCCATCCCTTCACATTCTATTTCCATAGGTACCCATATAAAGGAGACTGATACATATACACACATATATATATAATATCAAAACATTAATTTTATATATATCATTAGTTTTTTATATATATTATATTTATATATTTCATATATAAGTATATTCTGTATTTTACATATATACACACACACACACACACACACACACACACACACACAACTAATCCCTTCAGGGCTTCTTAGAGATGAAAACTCCTTGCTGGTGTTGAGTGAGTGGAGAATGAACCAACTCTGACCTGATTCCACCCTGAAGTCAGCCTGGAGGGTTCCACTGGCCTCGGGTCTCAGCTCTTTCTGCACATCTTTAACTAGCTGCCAGAGCGCTCCTCCTCAAGTGCAGGTTCCGGCTCATCACTTCCTACTCGGAAGTCTTTGGGGGCATGCCTAGCCCCGGATGGCTCCACCAGCCCACAGTCTAGCTGTACAGCAGCCATCTGTAGCCACACTCTGTACTGTCTTCTCCAAGTCTGTCCTTGGAATACATCACTTGAGTCATGTACTCCTTTTCCTCCTCTCCCTTTCCACCCATCCCCCAAACTGGCTTGGATTTGTGCCTCTAGCAAACTCCTCCCTCAGGTATCTGTGTAAGTACTTCCTCTTCAAAGTCTTCCCTGGCTCCTTGTGAATAGGCACCAATTATTATTATTATTATTATTATTATTATTGAGACAGGGTCTCACTCTGTCACCCAGGCTGGAGTATAGTGGCACGATTTCAGCTCACTACAGCCTCCGCCTCCCGGTTCAAGCAATTCTCTTGTCTCAGCCTTTTGAGTAGCTGTGACTACAGGTGTGTGCCACCACGCCTGGCTAATTTTTGTATATTTTGTAGAGACAGGTTTTCGCCATGTTGGCCAGGCTGGTCTCAAACTCCTGACCTCAAGTGACCCACCCACCTTGGCCTCCCAAAATCTTGGGATTACAGGCATGAGCCACTGCATCCAACCCACAGGCACCCATTATTAATTGGACCATAACTGGCTGCATGTTTGTCTCCTGACTGTAAAGTACAGGAAGATCCTGTCTTCACCTCCATGTTCTCAGTGGCCCAGAATACACAACACACACACATGCACTAGTTAATGGGATGTGTCCTGAATAAAGAAATTATTTTTTCTTAGAATATACTCACAATACAAAGACAGTTTAGTAGTTTGGCTTTTATCAGTAGCATACCAACATTCCCATGAGTCTCACAGAATAAGGTACATGACTCAAAGTCTAAAACAGGCTGGGCGCGGTGGCTCACGCCAGTGATGCCAGCTCTTTGGGAGGCTGAGGTGGGCAGATCACTTGAGGTCCGGAGTTCAAGACCAGCCTGGTCAACATGGCGAAACCCCGTCTCTACTAAAAATACAGAAAAATAGCCAGGCATGGTGGCACATGCCTATAGTCCTAGCTACTCGGGAGGCTGAGGCAGGAGAATTGCTTGAACCCAGGAGGTGGAGGTTGCCAGTGAGTTGAGATCGCACCACTACACTCCAGCCTGGGCAACAGAGCAAGACTCTGTCCCCCAAAAAAGAGAGACAGAAAAAAATGTCTAAAACAAAAACAGCAAGCTTAGAAACACAAGCATGGCACTTTTGGAAAACCAAGTCATTCATTCATCCATTCGCCCATTCAATCATGTGCCTCCTTTCTAACTCCACAACATATAAATAAATAAATAAAAGCACCTCAAAATCTATAAGGTCCCATACAAATGAAGGTAACATCATCACATGAATTAATTTGTGATTCTCTTTGAAAAAGTCATTTAATAGAATGAACCTGGTTAAGCCAGAACTTGATTATGTGACTCTTTTTAGGTTAAACTGGTTTGGGTCAAAAGCCTATTTCAACTGATAAAGTAGCAGAGATCTCATCTTCAGATAATGTTCTTTTCATGTCTTTTTAACCTCAAAAGCAAACCTACCAACCCCAATGCCAAGACTTTAAAATTACTTATCCTTCTTAAAAAAAAAAAAAAAATCAAACTTTTAAGGTGCTTGATCATTTCATTAGTGGGTTTTCTAAGGGCCAAATCTCTGCAATTGGGGTAAAATGCATTACTCATTTGATTAAGAAACAAACAAAACAGGGAATTATACGGCTCTTTTCCAAAATACTAAAGGACACAAACTATATGCATCATTACTTAAGGACAGTCACCTGATTATAAGAAAAGTCTTACTATATATCTATACTCAATCAGAAATAATGCACTCTGTTCTGTAAAGTATCGCTTGCCGCTTATTTTTAAAATAATTCTAAACCCTGTTTCTAAAAATAAAAATCCTAAAGGCCTATGTTCATTCCTTACAGAATACAAGCTTTAAAAGTAATGAAAGTATGTAATTTGGTGTGTAGTCAACAAAGGTGTATTGTGAATATATAATTGAAGTGCAAGTTGAAGAAAATGATTCTATCAAAATCTCACTCAGTGGGAGAATGGAAAGATAGTATGTGTAAAATTTGCCCAAAGTCATTAGTCACAATGAATATTCATCAGAAGCCAATTATCAATCTCATTTAATGACACCCCAAAAGATTTTGCCCTGAAGCAGCTGAATAGTCTAAGACTCCAGACAAAACTAGACAAATTATACAGCCAACAGCCAGTCTAGCCAGGACACAGACTGTAAAGTAAACCACTGGTGGATTTTGGGATGCACTTCAGCAAATTCTGTCCTCAATTAAAGGTGCACAAGGTCATTTATATCTCAGAGCTTTCTATATGGCTCTGTTAGTTTTCTTTGAGGCAAAGGGAGATGAGGAGAAGGCAGTGGGGGTAGAACATGAATGGAGAATGATCAATGACGGAGTTGGGCAAATCACAAGGACACCTTTTTTTTTTTCAGTCATTTCTCAGAGATAAAGCCCCAATTGTCACAGTCTTAGATTCCAATGCCTCTGCAGAATCCTAATAGCAGCTCTGCAACTTAACATGAAATAAAAATAAGAATGCCCCCTCAAAAGACAAAACCACAATATGTGTAGGTACCAGGTTGGGGTTTAGACCCTTGCAAAGTATTGTTTTAAAGGAAAGTGTGTGTGTGTGTGTGTGTGTGTGTCTGTGTGTGTGTGTGTTGATACACAAATACACTCATCACCACATTTCACAGATAA